TTTTATACATTCAACACATACTTGAAAGTCGGTTAAATCTAAGGGATTAAGGATTCTTTCATCAACAAGCCTCTGAATTCTCTGTTTAGAGATATGTCCTAAACGCTTGTGCCATAAGATGGCAGAATCCTCATTTAATTTTCGCTTAGTACCTTTAGCAACAGAGTGCAAAATTTCATTATCTAATGTAATAGTCTCAAGCATGTATGGTTTATCAATTAAAGAACCAGTGCCAACCAATTTCGAATTTAGATAGAAACCAACTTTATTGTTTCCAAAAGAACAATTATAACCAAATTTGTCCAAACATGAAACAGAAATCAAATTCCGTCTAAATGACGGTGCAACAAAAGTTTCAACTAAATCCAAATAAACACCAGTTTTTAATAAAATTCTAAAGGTCACAATAGCTTGAACTCTAACTTTAGTGCCATCGCCCACATATATAAATCTTTCATTATCATTTGGCGGTCGGCTCCACATGCAACCCTGCATAGACATACTTATGTGAGCAGTAGCACCAGAATCTACCCACCAAGTATTCATAGGTACAGAAGCTAAATTAGCTTCAGAACAAACAAAAATGAGAGTCTTACCATGTTTCTCTCGCCAAGCAGCATACTTAGGACACTCTTTCTTCATGTGTCCTGCTTTCTTGCAAAAGTAGCAGGTGAATTCCTTATCCTGCTTCTTATGCATTTTCTGCTTTGGCCCTTTTTCTGCAGTTTACTTAGCTCTCTTCCTCTTCTTATCCTGAGAGGTTGATGCCAAGTGAGCACTCTCTATCTTATCTTGCTTTAGTCGTTCTTCCTCTTGCACAAGATGTGACATGAGCTCATTAAGAGTCCATTTATCCTTCTGAGTGTTATAACTCACCACAAATTGTCCGAATTGTGCAGGAAGTGATATGAGAATCAAGTGAATGAGCAAGTCTTCCGAAAGCTCTAACTTTAGTTCCTTGAGTTTCCCATTGAGATTAGACATTCCCATGATGTACTCCCTTATGTTCCCCTTTTCTTTATACCTCATGGTGACGAGTTTCATCAAAGTGTTACTCGCTTCCGCTTTTTCATTTTTAGCAAAAAATTGCTCAATTTCAGTGAGGAACTTCTTAGCATCAGTGCTCTCAGTGATAGAGCCCCTAAATCTGCTCGGAATAGAGCGTTTCATGATCATTAGACACATGCGATTAGAGCGATCCCACCTCTCAATTTTATCCGTATTTGGGTTTTCCGCAGTGGAAATGGGTCGCTCAATCCGAAGTGCTTGGTCCAAATCCATGCAACCGAGAACAATTTCCACACTCTCTTTCCACATGGCATAATTCGTCCCAGTCAGAGTAGAAATACCATCAATTTGAGCAGATACATTATAGCATTAGCAACTGTATATTAAACAAAACAAATAACATGCTTAGCAACTATGTCATATCGGAGGAAAATACGTGCATGTATGACATAAAAAATTCGAAACATTGGTGGGCTCATTAACAAGATACCTAACACAACATCACTATTTAGTCTTTGGACTAAAATATTAACTTGTAAGTAGTACTCTCAACGTAGTAATCAAATATTGAAAATAAATCCTGTCAAACAATACCCTTCCTTTGGGCCGGTCATTGCTCACATGGAAAACTTTACAATAATCACATATTTATTACCACATGTATATTAATTATCCGGCCAAATAACAATTTTCCTTTGGGCCAATCACTATTCGCATAAATAACAAATATACTCATCTTTATACCTTAAAACAAATTAATTGTCACAACAGGGGTTACTTTGGCAACGATATTATGTCAATCAATTTATTTTAAAATACAAGACAATTAAATGCAAACATAATAAAACAGTTTGGACAATCTACATTTAATCTCAATGGGAAATATTACTTATTTCTTAATAGCCCAACTAACAAACAAAATCCTCCGAAAACCATAACATAATCTTTATTGAACGAAAGAAATTATCTTAAACAAAAAAAACTTCTTTTCCATTCACAACAACGAATAATAATAATAATAAAATATAACAATTGTCATGGTAGTAATCTATTTCACCCAAAAAAAAAGACACGTTTATATGGATATCACAAAATATATATAAACAATTTATACAATATATGGCTGTCAAACTTGAGTTCTAGAGAAACGAAAAACAATAATAATCACGAATCTAAAGAACAATAAACGGCGGCAGAAATCTCAAACCATTGATATCCAAAAAAATCATCCATCGAAATTGTTTCACACGATTACTCTAATCCAAAAGTTTTTTTTTTTTTATTATTCATTCGAATCATTGGCGACAGAATAAAAAAAACTTTTTAAATCCCCATAGCAAAACGATTCACCTTACGAAATAATTATACCACAAAAAAAAAAACTAATTATTTCTAATAATTCAATATGTGAAAACGTGGTTCTGATACCACTTGTTGGAAAAACAAAGATTATCACAATGAATTATTAAGAACATACGAATAAGAATACACGTACCCGTCTCCATTAGTTAGGCTTGAGTATGAAACGTAGATCCGAAATTATGGCTTTCCTCAACGCAAAATCCTTGATGTCCTTCCAATGGGGAGAGAATGAACGTATTGATTTTGGTGTGTGGGAACCATAACCCTAGTCGTCTTTATATAGAGTTGTAATTAGGGTTCCCATTAAACCCTAATTATAACCTAATGGGCTTCCTCTCATTAAGTCCATACCAAATTGGGTTCTAATGGGCTATCTTTAATTAATCACATAATTAGCCCATTACTTAAATAGCGTAATATAATTATATAATAATATGTAAGCCCATAATTATTATTGGATTTATAAATAAATCCCAACACTGTCAACAGTGTTATCGGAGACTATCAATTTAGAAAATGAAGCTGGTGAATCAACTCCACACAAGAAAAGTGAAAAAACTGAAGGTATTTGACACTGCTATTTAATTTTGCTGCAAAGACGTATATCAAAGAACATGGGTGAAATTTATCGTCTATTCGAGAATCGATTTAGGTTGCCTATATAGTGGCCATAATTAGCCCAACGGTTGCGGTCACGTACACGCACTTTGGTCATGTTAGAATAGGGAGCAAAGTCGATCGCAATACCGATTCGGCCCAATCTCTCTTACAATAAATTCGTATGTGGATCATGAAATATTAGCCATTTTTTTCTGTCTAATGAAATCTAACTTAATCTTGAAATGTAGTGGTTGTACATTCAGGATTTAATTCTAACAAATTATTTGGTTCACTGAAATGGGTTTTGTTTTCATAATTGGGCCATGACAACTATTTTGAAGATAAAGGCCGAGTCACGACAAAAGCCCATTTAAAGTCATATGTACTATGTAGAGAGCTAGAGACGATCAAATGGACCTACCCCAGCCCAAACTGACTTGGACCGGCCCAACTAGGATCGAGCGGGATTAAGGATGGCCGGGCCAGGTCTTACGGTCCCTGGCCTTAACAGATCCGGCCATAACCGGTCTTGGTCCCGGTCAAAAAAGGTGAGCCCGGTTAAGCTTTATTGTAACCGGTTACGGGCCGCCGGTCCGGTCATTAAAAAAAATATTTTTTAATTTTTAAAGATATTTATTTTTAATACATTATAAAATTTGTAATTTGGTCACTCAAATACACTTTAAAAATGCGTTTTATTATAATTAAAACCGAGTATTGTGAATGTTTTTTGCGTATTGTAAGTTGATATGTAAATCTTTCAACTATGACACTTTTTTAAAAGACTAAAAAACGGTCATAAATGGTACAAATATAATGGCTATATTTTTAAAATGGCTACTTTTTTAAAAACCGGGCCAGGCCGGTCTCGTAACCAATCCCGGTCCCGCGAAACACCCCAAATGCATTACAAGTCCCAAATTTCAATCCTATTACCGCTCCTGGGCCGGTCCGATCCTTGGCCAATCCCGGTTCCGGTCCTCTAGCGGTCCCGGGCCGGACCGATTTAGCCATCACTAAGCGGGATTGGTTTGGAACCGTCGCTTAAGGACCGGTTATGATTTTAATATATATGATGAAATAGCCCAATTATACATGGGTATGGAAAATTTTAGAAAGTAATATATTTTTTTATCGGAGATGGCTGGGACTTCCATGTGTAAAAAGGCGTTTATCGGAGTGGTGTACGGGTTCTTCTGGATTATTTGGAACTTGCGCAACCGTAAAATTTTCCTAGCTCGCTCTCAAAATTCGGCTACTTTTCTCGCAGGCCAGCTTCAGGCGTACTCTTTTTTCTGGTTTAAAAATAGGGTGCCGAAAGGTGTTTTGGTGAATAGTTGGATAGAGTGGTGTAATTCCCTCATGTCTTTTTTTTGCCTGTACTCTCTATTTGCTAACGTCTTGCTATTTTTTTTATGATATTTCGCCTTTCTTTGCTGGTAAAAAAAAAAATATATTTTTTATAAAGTTAATAATAATATATCAAATAAAGGGAGTTTATAGCATCCACGATAAAGGTCATTGTTAAGGTTTTTGTTATGATTTTTTATAGCAATGTTAACTGTAGTATATAAGTATTTGTCCAGTTACATGTTCTAATCAGAACTCATGTGGTTAAACAAGAACTGGGGTTCTTGTCTAAATTCATTTTTTGTAAATTTTTTTATTGTTTCTAATCATTTTATTTTGTTTGAATAAAGTTATAAAACATATAAGTTATAACTGATGTAAACAAAATACTAATTAATGATTATAAAATACATCTACAAATAAAGTTACATTTTATAAATAAAAAATGAAAAGTGAGGTTTTTAATTAAAAACCTCTATTGTGAAGTTTTATTGAGATTCTTATTTTATTCATGTGGTAAAATTGAAAATTTACCTTATTTCAGTTTTCGTACTCGTTAAAACTTATTATATGCTAATGAATCATTGACACCATCTCTTTTACTAAATCTCCAAGATCCTAATCAGGTTTAGGAGCATGGCCTTTGAGTTTACACTCTAGCGATGGCCAAACACTCCCAGCGTGGACTGCCCAGGATCGACTGGGAATAGGGACCTATATCGATTGAGACCGATAAAGACAGGTTACCCTTCCAAAAAAAATCAAGGCTTGAAATGGAGCCAGTTATGTAAAAGGACTGATTTTTTTCAAGTAAATGTTATATTTACCAAGTAAATGTTATATTTACATACTTCTACAAGTTAAAATACAAAAATCAAGTAACTTGTATAACATTTTTGTGTAAAAAAGATCTAAAAAATGATCTTCGATAAGATTGGGTCAGGTCGTGGACCAGGCTCAGAAGAGGGTAATAATGACTATAACTTTCCGACCCAGTTACAAGCCACCTTCTTAGGAATAGGGCCTCCGGCCCGATATTGAGTTTTTGCTATCTTTAGCCCCACCATCTTCAAACAGTTTCACTAGTGCTTCAAAATGTGGCCAACCATTCTTAAGTATATAATATCTATTTATAATAAATACTCATACACACTCCTCAACTTTTGTTGTGGTTTGAACTCACGACCACTAAAAAGGCTAGGATTGACTGTAATTCAAAATACTGCTAGGCCAATGTCCCTTTGGTAAAAAAAGTATCCAACCTTGAAAGGGCACAAGAAAAGTCGATGAATATTGACAAAATAAGATCTATAAGCATTTATTACTACATTCAATTTGACTGGTTTTTCTTTTATTACTAGATTTTTTGAACAGAAACATCAACAATCTTATTGGATGCTCTAAAACACTCTCACAGAAATGTCTATTTCACCGAGTCTCTCTCCGAGACAATGATCATATCGTGTTACTGTTCTCACGAGAAGTATGATGTCGATTATTTGTTCAGATTTGTCTAAAACTGATCCTTATTACCAATTCTGATAAATATCTGAAAAAATACGATTAAATTAGAATATAATTTAGTGGTTTACAAAGTATAAAACTTGTTTTTATGTTTATAATCTTGATTAAGCCATCAATGTGTTGGTTTGATTAGCTTAAGACAAGCACCCTTGTCTTGTGCTTATCTTTGCCATTGCTTACACACCTACATGGTCAACCCTTATAATCCTTAGACCTTACTCATTTAAATTTTATTTATAAATATAAAAAAATATATTAATAATAAATAGGATAATAAATTGGGATTTTAGTATTTTTGGTTGTTTAAAATTTTAATTTACGTTCTTGTATTTTTGAAATTACAGTATATTGTTATTTCTGTTCTTGAGATAATTCATTATCATTAAGTACTGAGGATGAAAAACACAGCAACAAATAGTTTGAGGACGAAACCCATAATTTTAAAAAGATAAAAACGAAAATAGAAATTTCCGATAAACCATAAATACAAAAAAAGGCAATTTACTCTAAATAGTTTGATAAGAAAAATATTGGAAAATCACATTTTTATAAGACATTTTTTTGTTGTTGATTAACCTGGATATCCAACCTGTTATGTGAGCCGACTAATCCTAGGGCGACCACCTGCTTTGCAAATAGTCTGGAGTCACCACATTTGAACCTCTATGGCTACAAGGGGATTTTTATTCCTCCTTGGATTTAAACTTGAGACATCGTGGTACTTTTGACCTTTGGAGCCAAACTCAAACCAATCAGGCACAACCCTTTCAAATAGTGTCGTAAAAAATAGATATTACGAAACTTTTGTTTAAAAACGTCCCAAAATACTTGTTAAAACGCCTAAAATCATCCTATAACCTATTATAACATGTTTAAATCAATCGTTTTTTGATCTGTTTATATAAACTTAAACCATACAAAATATTTTATGGGTATGATTAGAATTTTTAAATATTATTATAAAATCAATTTTATTATAATATTTCCTAAATATGATTTTGTATGTATACTTACAATGAAGTATAGGTGGGTCAAATATTTGTTGTAAAGATTTGGCTTATATATGGTCTTGATTTGTGAACTAGGTCAAAAGTCAACCTTTGATGAAAGAATACATCTTATCTCACAAATGGACGGTCTAGATTTGTTTAAAAAATAGATTACTTAGATTTTCTAATTACTTCATATGAGAACATGAAGAGGGAATAAGGGATTAAATAAATAAGTCACTTGCTTTTATGGCAAAGTTGCATGTGCATATATGATTGGGCTGAATGTGGTAAGCTCTTCTATATAATCCCTTATTCCCTCTTCATGTTTTCATGACACAAACACACACACACAATACACACACATACTCAAAAAGAATGGCACAAATGAATCTCTCATTGTTGGTCCTCTTTTTTACCTTTTTAGGTTTTTTGGGCACCATCGAATCACGTTCACGTGCAAGGTCGTATCTTGAGGCACAGTGTCGATCAACTTTATACTCGGATCTTTGTGTTAGAACCCTGCTACCATATACCAGCAAAAGAGTAGTACCAAGCCCACAAAAAATAGCTCAAGTTTCACTAGCCACATGTCTATCCAAAGCTCGAGTCACGAAGGCTTATGTGGATGTGATAGCAGAACAATTCAAGAAAACGAAGAATCTCGGAGAGTACCATGCCGTGAAAGACTGTTTGCAGCAAATCAACAACGGAGTCAACCAAATTACTCAATCTGTCAAGGAATTACGACAAATGGGGACGGATGGGGAGGAGAAGTTTGTGTGGCATGAGAGTAACGTGCAAAGTTGGGTCAGTGCTGCCCTGACGGACACCACAACATGTATTGACGGAATTTTGGGGGATGAGATTGGGAGTAGGGAGAAACGTATGATTAAAGCAAGGTTTTTGAACGTGAAACAACTCGCTAGCAATTCTCTAGCGTTGTTCAATCGTTTTACAGCAAAGCATCGTGCTTCTCGAGCCGTCAGGAATCCTTAGATTTCGTTATTAACCGTAGGCTCTTACGTATATAATTAAAATTGAAATATGTTGTTATATTTAATTAATTTGTGGTATTTGTTAATTGCTTATAATTTATTATATATTGAAGCTATAATTGTGATGTAATATGTGAATATGAAGTTTTGAGAAAGTTATAAATTGCTTTTGGAAAATTACTTCATAATCAAAGTCTTTATCTATTAATTAAATATATTAACCAAAATTAGCATATTTTGCATTTATTACTATTTACTATGAATAAATAATTATTTTAGCTTAAGATTTTAGGGAAAAGTTTATAAAACCCAACGAGTTATTACATTTGCATGATGAAGTTTATTAACTATTTTTTTAATGAAAAAATCATTAAATTTTTTCGAATGATTAAGGGGCCGTTTATTAAACACTTACATGGTAAGTACTTATCGGATAAATTTTCTCATCAGATGAACACGAGAAGGATCAAGATCAAGAATCTTATCGGGTAAGAGCGATGAGAATGATGGAGAGTCTTACCCGGTAAGTGAGGATGACGACTCTTACCCAGGTAAACGCTTACCCACTAAATTGTTGCATTCGATATGTTTTAATATACGAAAATCTTACACATCAAATAAATCATAGTGCTGACTCCTATCGGTAAGTGCTGACTCCTATCGGTAAGTGCTTACTAGGTAAGCAATTAGGTAAACGGCCCCTAAGTCTCTGGACAATTATTTTAATAAATAGACTATTGAACTTTTAAAAATTAGTTACTTACATTCTTTTAACAAAAAAAATTACGTGTAATCAATTAGAAAGATTTTAGAGTAAAAAAAACTTAAATTAGTTTTATCGTTTCGAAACCTGTACTCCCTTCATAACCCTCGCAAACAAACGATATTACTCCCCCTCGCCACTCCCTGTTGCCCCATTGTTGTCTGTTCTTCATATCGACTATCACACTGTTGGTCTCTGCCATGAAATTGAAAAAAAAACAAATAAGAATTTTTTTTACAAATCCGTCGGAAAGTTTAAAAATCTTATATTAAGAATTTTTTTTTTAAAAAAATAAAAGAAAATAATTAACTCTAGTTACCTTAAATTACCGACATAATTTAATTTTAAAAAAGTTAACCAAAAAATCCGCCAGTAATTTAATGGAGTTTGAGTTAATTATTATTTTTATTTTTATTGTCCGCCGAAAATCCAGCGAAAATAAAATTTTCTTTTTCAATTATTCAATGACGGATTTCTGGCGGATTACTGACGATAGTCAATGGAAGTTGACTTTTTTTAATATCCGTCGAAAATAGTCAGTTTTCTAGTAGTGTATGCAAAGTTGTGCAAATTACTTACATTTACGGACACAATCACCACTGTCCCCTCAACATGTTGTTATTGCATCTGAATGTTAATGGTAACCAATACTTAAGAGTGACATTAACACGAGAGTACTCATTGTCCACAATTACACCATAACAGAAACATTAGAAATTTCTCGATACAACTACATGGACTACTTTTTATCAATATCGATTAAACATGTATAAAGAACATTTAGTTAAATAATTGTATTCATGAATATGTTGATTTAAATGATTAATAACATCTCAAAGTTATTTTATCATTAATAGCATATTCTATTTTATAAAATCATAATTAATCAAAAAAATTAAAATTTAATACATCTTTAATAAAAATAATAAATATTTTAGATGTTAAAATTACAATATCTGTAGTACTAAAAGCCTACTTTAATTAATACATTATTAGATACAAAATAGAAAATAGAAAAATAAGATGAGTAATAGAGAAAATATCAAAAGGGTTGAAAATAATAAATCAAAAAAGTATAAGGTCTAAACTAAAATTATAATAAGGGTTAAAATTGGGCTAAGAGATTGGGCTATCGCCGGTATCAGTTGAAGTCAATAAAGAAGGAAAGCCTTCCCCCAATCCAACATTTTCCGGTGAAAAGAAGATAGATGACTGAGAGTCACGGGATTTTGAAAGCGCCGCATCCAGCTCAGCAGTTTCTTCAAAAGAGATGACAGATACAGAGCGATTACCACTTGTAGGCTCGTTTACCAACTGGGCCATGAGTTTGCTTTAACGAGTGCACGAGCAGAAGCGGAGACAGAATCACATGTTCAAATTTAAACCGTATAACACCTTGATTAATTAATCTAATTTATTAAAAGTTCTAAATAAACATGAAAATACTTTTCATAATAAAAACTACATCAGTGAAAAGCTTTGTCAAGATGATTAAATTGGCACAAATAGTAAATATTATAAATATAAATATCTTTTAATATTTTTATTAAGAATTCGAATAAGATTTCACAAATCCTGCATACGACGGATTGACGGTTAACTCGATGTAATTATGATGATTTTTTTGTAGCTTTAAGATGATTTTTACGGGAAAATCATCTATAAGATTGGATTAGATCGGTTGTCCAATGTTACTTAGATTGAATCTAATGCCAGAATTCAACATCTAATGAATGATTGGATCGGATCGCATCCACCTGAATCCATTAGATTTCAACTGATTAACATCCCCAGTTTGAGATATTTTGCGGTAAACAACATAAAGTAGGTTTTACACAATGAATCAAAACAAGATACGTTTTATTTTGATACAATTTGCATTTGGTTATAACTGGAAGAGTATCCGCGCAATGCAGCGAGACACATCTCGATTTTAATGTTTTATTTTATTATTTGTCTTTGTCGATGTTATAATACGATTTTTATGTGTTTTTAAGAAAGCATTAATGATTTTATTTTTGAATAAAGTTTAAATTTGAAGATATCATAAAAATTTGAAAAAAATATATCAATGTTAATATCAAATCAACTATTTAAAAGTTTTCATTTTTTATGTAATTTCTTTAATATATTTTTTCTATTATAATTTAATTGAAGTTTAATAAGAAAATAATTTATTTTTCGTTTAATAATATAACATTTTATAAAGATAATAATTAAGTATTCTGTTAAAAGTCAATGATTATCCTAATTATATTTTAGATTTTTTATATTTAAAATGAAATGTTTATCCTGTATTTTATTATGTCTATCTGCAGTTAGTTACACGAATTCAGATATGGAGCTTTAATAAGTTTTAATTATGCAAAATCTACTTGTAATCTTCAGTTTTAAGTAATATGCATTAGTAAACAGTACTTTACGCATAAAAAATGGTTTTTAAGAGTTTTTGTCAAATGTTTTATAATATAGTATAAATAAACTATTTAGTATACATCCAATTAATCCGAATAAACTATAAAATGGGAAAGTCAAAAATAGGAATTAGGAAACACGATCGATATTCTTGAATGTATGTATACATGGTTTTAACAACGTAAATTGTTCTTGTAGACAATTCTATTTATAAAATTAATGTCATTTCATACAGATAGATTTTGAACTTTTTGATGTTTCCAATTGCATATCTGAACTTCTTGATGGATTTATATAAATTCAGTAAGAAGTCTTATTCTAGCCGACAATCTTGAACAAAATACGTGATTAAAATTATCTGAGTTTTCATAATTATAACAGAAAAACAAAATAGCGGACCACCTAAACGTGCCTACTACCTCTCTATTTTATATGCCCAAAAAACAGTCATTGTTTCGATACAAAATTAGGCCCATTGGCCCCATTTACGGCCAAATCCCATTTTTATTTTCAATTAGTACAAAAGCATAGCCTAGTTTACATGGTCAACAACTTTAATCAGTAGATTTTATAACTTTAAGAATTTTTTCTATGACATCGATGTGTAAGTTTGTTAATTATTTCAACAAGATCAAATAATATTAAAGCGAATGTATTTTGTTCTAATTTTTATTTTGAAAGAATTAATTCTAAAAGCTTGATTTATCGAAATGTATTATGTGTCTTATGTAACTAAAAAACATACTATGAACCACAAGGGTGGTGTCTGATTGGTTTGAGCTTGGCTCCAAAGGTTAAAAGTGTCTGGAGGTCTCAAAATTCAAATCCAAGAAGAAACAAAAATCCACTTGTGGCCACGGAGGTTCAAATGCGATGACTCCGGGCTACCTGCAAAGTAGGTGGTCGCTCTGGGATTATTTTCAAATATTGGATTGATCCAATATAATCAAATGGAGAATCAACGATAATATCCAAAAGATGAGACTGATATTGGACTGGATAGAATTAGTTGTCCAATGTTAATTGATTGGATCAGATGTCAAAATCCAGCATCTACTAGATGATTGGATCAGATCAAATCAACATAAACCCATTGGATTTTAACCGATTGACACTTTAGTTTGAGGTACCGTGTTGCAAACAACAACAAGAAAATGGTTTCACAAAATATGTTTATTTTTTATTCAGTCTACATTTGTTTAATGATGGAAGGTTCTATTTATAAAATTAATGTAACTCCATACACATATATTTATGTTTAACGTGTTTCCAATTGCATAAAGTACTTTCCGATGGATTCACATGAATTCGGTCACCAGTGTCATTCGAGTCGACAATCTTAAATGTCATATATTACTAAAGTGAAACAATTTCATAGTTATTGTAAAAAAAAAAAAAAAGTGGACCACTTATATTTGTCTACTACTTCTCCAATTTTACATGCACATACATAAAACACACATCCATTGACACCAAATCCCACTTTTATTAACCACAAGGGTGGTGCCTGATTGGTTTGAGCTTGACTCCAAAGGTCAAAAGTACCATGAGGTCCCAGGTTCAAATCCAAGGAGGAATAAAAATCCCCTTGTGGCCACGGAGGTTCAAATGCGGTGACCCCGAGCTATCTGCAAAGCAGGTGGTCGCTCTGGAATTAGTCGGCTCGCATAGCGGGTTGAATATCCAGGTTAATAAAAAAAATCCCACTTTTATTTTCCATGAGGATAAAATCATAGGCCAGTTTACATAGTCATCGACCTTTGTCAGTCGATTTTACAACTTCAAGTTTTTCTATGGCATCGTTTGTAAGTTTGTTAACCATTTCAACAAGAGTAGATAGTATCAACATGAACCCGTTTTACGTTCTTATTTTTAT